GGCAGCGACGACGGCGGCGCGTCATGCTTCACGAGCGGCTGGGCTGCTCCCTGGTGTACTATTTTTTAGACCTGTGCCATGGAGAAGGGGCCCCTAGGCAACGTTGCGTCTTGCAGACGCGGCCGAGACGCGGGAGACGCGAGTTCCGGGACGCGGCAGGACGCGGCCAAGACGCCCCGGGACGCGGCCGAGACGCGCCGGAGACGGATTGAGACAAGGTCGAGGTACCGTTTTTAGTTGAATTGGCCTCGGGCCAAGCTCGGCCCAGACTACCATCAAGATCTTGGCTCCGGCGAGATTACTTTCTCATGTTGCCGGCCGGATGGGAGGCGCGAACAGATGCCCAGGGACGGACGTTCTTTGTGGACCACAACACGAAAACGACGTCGTGGACGCGTCCCTCGCCTGGAACGCCGATGTCCCTAGAGACTGACGAGCAGCTTGCGCGGCGGCTGCAGATGGAAGAGGAGTCCAGTGCGTCTGCGGTATCAGCGCCGTCATCGGGGAATGCCATGAGTGATGAGGAACTCGCTCGGATGCTCCAGACCGAAGAAGATGCGTCGTCGGAAATTGAACCGAAAGAGTCAATCAGCGGGAAATCACGCGGATTTTTTGGTCGACGCGGAACACGCTCAAACCCTGCGACCAAGCCTTCCTCGCCCGAAGCGGTCGACGATGCATTTCTCCGCGCAGATTGACACTTTAAGGTCGGTTTTAAACAACTGTGATGGTAGGCCTTTGGCCAAAGACCGCCGCCTGGCGATTTTGAAGGTTACCTACAGATGCGCAAAGAACTCAAAGGTTTTGGTTGGCGTCAGGTCTACGTCCGAGTGTGCGCCAGCGCTAGACTCTTCGTGTCGATCTCATGTCTATAGAAGCTTTCAGGTGTGTGGGTCGACGTTGGCCGTATTCGCAGATGAATCACGTCCTAAAGCAGAGCTACGGGTGGAACTTATTGCATCGACTCTGCTAGAATCTTCGAGCCAAGGCAAGCTCCGATCCATGAAAGACGAAATATTTCGCTGGAAGGTCACCATCGCTGGCATCACCTCCGCGAACCTTGGTACTGAGTCTGTTGTCGAAGGAGGTGCGCCGTCTGCGCCCTGACACATTTCTGACACGTCGGCACCAGTTGCTACCCCCCCCCTCCCCAGGCAAAACTGGCAGGGGCGAGATAGAGTTTGCCGCAGCGGATGACGCAGAACGTGCGGCGTGGATAGGCTGGCCAGACAATACCGTGTCTCTGCAAGAAACTCACGCCATATTGCACATGTGCTTACTTGGTGTGTCACTTGATAGGTGCATCGTAGCGGGAGCAAACATGCCAAAATCTGCGGATCTCGTGGCCAAGGCATTCAAGCCACTCTTATCTGCAGCGCCGACGCCAGAGAGAGCCCAAGCCCTGAAGACACTAGCCAAGGCACTAGGCGCAGATGGAACTACGTCACCACAACTTGGCGCACTTGTGAAGGCTCTCAGATCATGCGGTGCACTAGCTTCAGTGGCAGAATGCCTTAAAAGCGCGCCCGGGCAGGAGTCGGCAGCACGGTGCACATATTTTGCTGCTCGTGCGGAGACTTACACAGCGCGGACTCTCGTGGATGAGAGGGTGGAACTGCTCTTGCTGCCTCTCCTCATAGCGCCCGATGATGGTCTGCAGCAATGGGCAGCGGCTGCGTTGGCGCCGGTCCTGGCAGGCGATCCCTTTCGAGCCTCGAAGAGCATCATTGAGGCTGGTGGCGTATTCACAATTGTTGCGTTGCTGTCTTCCTCATCACCTGATGTGCGTTCGCATGCGCTTGCAGCCCTCATCTCACTTTGCTCTGGGGTAATTGAAGCTGCCTGGCCAAAATCGGCAGTCGGATCTGAAGAAGCCAAGGGGCTACTATGCAAGCTTGTTGATGGCGCTATCGACGCTGGGATTTGCCATTCCATTATTGCGCTTCTGGAAGTGCGAGACGATGTGCGCGTCGCCACTGCCGCCTTGGAGGCAGTCATAGCCCTGAGCTATTCCAGCAAATCATTTCGGCATGTACTTCGAAGTGAGATTGGTGGCGATGTGCGCCTTTCTACTCAGCTTGTAACTGCTTGCGGTGACCGACGCTTCGGAGCTCATGCCCTCCGTGTCATGGCAGATGCGTGCTACTGTGTAGACGAGCAGACAGGGGCTGAGGATCGTGTTGAGTCCGCAGCAGCTTCTGATGCTGCCAGGGGGTTGTTTGCTGCCGGCGCGCTCCCTGTCGCCATCGAGGCGCTCGGGACAGAGTTTGAAACTAGCATGGAGCTGAATCAATCGTTACTCCTTGAGGCCTCAACACTTCAAGGTGCGGAAGCTCGTGGTTATGCATCACCTGGAA